ACACCGGGCTCTCCCCGCAGGATCGCGCCCTGCCTGCGTGCTCTCCAAGCCATCCTGCCGCTCCGGCGATGGCATAACCGGCAGGGTCCCTTCATCCACCTGCGGGTCTGCCCCGTCCTCCTCCATCGCCCTCAGCCCCCCTCCCGCCTGCCGACCCTTTTTGGCCAAGACAACTTCCCCGCCTGCGCACCACGCTTCCGCCCCGTATTGCAGCCCAGCTCCACCGTCATGAAAATTTAAATATCAAACGTCCCCAAAACACTACAAGTGCCTTTCGGAGGGAGGATGTTGCGGCTGGTTTTTTGGGTGTACCTGATTTGTGGTCAAGTCGGATGGCCACAAAGGGTGCTGAGCCAGACCAGTGGCATCCAGCACATGCCAGCAGAACAATTAAAATGCACCGCACGGCCCCGGCGCCCAGCGGCGCTGCCCTAGTTAGGGGTCCATCAGAGGCCCAATTAGAATGGCTCCTTTCAGGAGGCCGACACTGTCAGCTGGTCATTGTCACTCCGGCGGCCGCAGAATTGGCCACAGTTCTGCATCCTCGGAGTTTCTTTAATTTTGTGAATGCTGTTATTTGTCTTTTAGAAGGCTGCGGTTAAAACTAGTTGTTTGTTCTCTTAGAGGCACATGAGGTGATTCAAAAATTATTGCTAAAAGACGCTCCATTTTCTCAGGCTCAGGAGATTGCCGCTCCTGCTTCCTCCAGCTGCCCCTGCAGCTGCCCATCCTGCTCCCTCCAGCTGCCCCTCCTGCACCCCTGCCCCTGCAGCTGCCCCTCCTGCATCCCTGCCCCTCCAGCTGCCCCTCCTGCACCCCTGCCCCTCCAGCTGCCCTCTCCCCAGGACATTTTGAAGGCAAACCCTGGGCTAGACTCTGCACCATCAAGATTGTGTAATGACTTGACTCTATGGGCAGCAATTGCTTTAAAAAAATTGTGTGTCAAGTTCAACTTCATGACCATATTCCTTTATGTGGAGGACTCACGTTAGTGATTTAAACATTTGGACTCTATTAAGTAAAGAACCAGCAGGAGATGCAAAGAACTTCTCAATCTGTGATGAGGCCACATGTTTGGAGGAGATGATGACTTCCTTCTCACAACACGCTTGGTTTCTGGAGAAACGCAGGTGGAAAAGCATCATCCGTATTCCACTGTCTCGCACGCGAGGGTGGGGAGAGTTGGCAGTGGATCTGTGCTCACGTTTCTCCACCTGCAGGTGTTCGCCTCACGCCTTCTCCATTGATGCCTGAGCCTCGTGCACCTTGCTGTGAAACTCAGACACTGCTCATCTACATGTGGGCCTCTCTCTGCACGGTTTTCATCTTTGTTTTCTGATTTTCACTTTAGTGCCCATACTTTGTCCCACCCTCCAGGTATTTTCCCAGCTCCTTCCACTTCTCCTCATTTTATCCATTTGATAAATTCCCACTATAGGGTGTATAGCAACGTTCCAATCTCCATGAAGCTTTCTCCCACCCCCACAGGGCAGAACCTAGGGCCAGCTCTGTTAGGGCATTTATCTATTATCAGTGCGGAATTGCAGCTCCCCAGGTCAATGAGCCATGGGCCTCATAGAAGTGTCACAGAGCAGAGGCTTAACAATTTTATTTCAAATAAAAATGTTAAAAAGGAAAAAAATGAGAGAACAGAGAGTGGCCCCACAGAAAAGAGACTCAGGTAATTATAGGTAATTAGCAAGGACCTAGGTTCACATAGCATGAGAAGTGCTTTAGAAATTATGCCCTACTGTCCTGTCTCCTCTTTAAGGGGGAGAAAGCTTTTAGCTCCGTGTGTGGCACGTAGGAAAGGCTTATTATATGTTATCTGTGCTGATGATGGTGAAGAAGAGAAGGCTGCAGATGAAGACAAAGATAAAGATGAAGGAGGAGGAAAAGGAGGGATACAGGAGGAGAGAAGAGGAGGAAAAGAAGATAAGAAGAGAGCGATGATGGTGATGGTGATGGTGATGGTGGAGATGATGGTGGTTATTGTGATGGTGATGCTGGTGGTGATGATAATGAAGGTGATGATGTTAATAGTGATGATGGAGAGGATAGTGACAGTGATAATAATTAATGCATACCATTCCTAATAAAACAAAATAGTTTCTTGACATCCATCATCTCTAAACCCCTCTAATTTAGTCCTCAGCCCCCACCCTATCTTCTCACTCAACTTTCCAGTGTTCCCAGTCAGGATGTTCTTCACATTGTCACACAGATTGGACCTTCTTTGTCCGGCCTCCATGTCCTGACCAGAAACTTCCTTCAGCCAGAAACTTCCCACTTACCACTCCCCCTCCCCCTATGAAAATCCTATTCTTCTTTAAGATCCCCATGCAGGCTGCAAACGCTCTTTTCCAAATGGTCCTATATCATGGGGACCATAGTAATAAAGGTGTGGGAACTTTACTTTCTCACTCAATCTGCACACAACCCTGTGGCATGGCTCTCACCATTTCCAATCGGGAGAGGGAGGCACAATGATATTCAGTGACATGCCCAAAGTGGAGCTGGCTTTAAACTTTGTTTCTGTGGCACCAAAGCTTTAGCTTTTAGAGCATCCTACACAGGATGTACTAGGTTAGTATATCTACACTAATAAAAGAGAAAAATGGTAATTGGCGTACGATGCTACCCTTTTCATTGACTAATCAGGGCTATATGCAAATTAACTT